GGCAGCCGGGGGCGGGGGCGCGCGACGACAACGACGACGACGACGACGAGGGCGGGCGGCGGGCTGGTAGCGGCGCTGCCCTCCTGGCTGTCCGCCTTGCGCCGCCGGCCCCGCCGCAGTGTGTTTTGTGGACGGCGCCTTCACAGACAGCCCAGTGGAGCCCAGCTCGGCGCCCCGCAGCCTCGGACGCGATGTTCCGCCGGACCTTGAACCGTTTGGTGAGTACCGCGGCTCCTCGCTCCGGAGGTGGACCCTTCGCCAGTCCTCCCCTCCTGTCGGGTTTCTGAAGGGACCGGCGGGACGACACCCTCCCCCCTTAACCTGCTAGCGGAAGCTCTGCGCTCGGGTGGCCGGGTGGGGAGGGAGGCGGGTGGGGAGGGAGGGAGGTGGGGTTCTGGCTGTCCCACCCTGGCGTGCAAGACTGTGGAGCCCGGGACTACCCCGGGGCTCTGAGAGCTCTCCCTCAAGACCGGGGATCGCCCAGGGCGGGAGGTGGGGGGCTCCCCGAGGTCCCTCAGTTTGCCAATTAGTGGAAGATGGCGTTTGATTATCTGGGAGGAAGCTTTCTTTTGTTTCCTCTGCGACGAGCACATGGAGGTAAACTCAGACCTGCCACTGTGGCTCGTAGAGGAGCTGAAGATCCAGCAGGACTCTGCCTCGCGTGCTCGGGAGGCGGCTGCTGACCGGAAGCCCCGCAAACTTTGAGGATGCAGCCCGCACCCTCTCCTTGAGGCCGGGATCATTCCGAGGGCGGCGGGCTGTGTGGGCTGGGGCGGCCGGCCACGCGGGGAGGCTGCGCCAGGTTGCGGAACCCTGCACTGCCATGAGCCCCGCACCACCTTTCCCCTTTCCCAGCCCTCCGCCAGCCCTGGGCAAATGGGACGGCTAACTCTTTGGAGTAACCTGTTTACTCTTGCTGGGAACGTGTAGAATGGAGAAAGTAGGGCCGGTTACTTCTAGGCTGCTGTTGGGAGCAACTTCCCTAATTTCCAGAAGAGGAGGTGGCGGGAATAGGATTTTATGCCTGCCAATGATGTGCAAGAAAGGGTTCGTCTTCAAATGTTGATGCTTCTGTAGTGAAGAAAAGAAGGGATGCCGGTTGCTGTCCCCTGTTCGCTTTAGGAAGATTTAAGAACTTGACAGTTTGGTGACCTTTACTCTAGCATTCCTTATCAGAACATCGCTGATATTTTCTGTAGGTCAGATGAATTTACTGTCCTTTTTTCTACATTTGAAACTTTCACAAATGTATCCTGGCTCACAGTCCTCCTTGTACATCCCCTTCATCATCAGTACTATCATCAGCATAACAGTGATACGTTTTTTGCTAGATATTTATTTCATTCAGAGACATACAGTATGAAGGTGGGACCCGTTATTAACTATGTATCAGGAATCTTGGGAGCCATAGGAAACGGCTTGTGCTGGGTGTTTGGTGGAGCAAGTGACTCAAATTTGTTTCTCACACTGTGCCTGAGACTGTAAAGGAGCATTATACCTCCTGTTTCTCCTTCACATGGGTTCTTGTGATTTTTGAAGTGTTGGTTGTTTCAGGGTGAAGGAAAGCAAAAGGTGACAAGAAAGCTAATTGTAATATTTATGGAAAAGGCAATCTTTGCACAAGGCACTCATGCTAGAAAAAAGCTGATTTCTGGATCATATTAAATCCATTTGCTTAAAATTGATACGTTGAAATCCCATTTTTTAAGGATTTGGATATTTGGAATTGGACAACCTGCCTGTTGGTCGAAAAAAAAATCCCTTTTAGATTTCTCTGGCTAAGCGTTGATCTGCATTGTATCAGTGTAGGAATTAAGCAGTGTTGGCCTCAAAGCTGGGGCATGCAGTACAATTTGCAGCAGTTGTCTAGGTGCCAGCCTGCTAGTACTTTGCATCTCGCCCAGGATCTCCGCAGAGAATCGTTTTTGCTCATACTGAAGGGAGCTTTGACCTCATTGTTTCAACTCAGATGTCCAGCTCCTTACAGTTTCCTGCACAACCATGACCATGGCAAGTCCTAAGAATTTGTTCCAGTGTAGTAAGCTGGAAGGTTCTTAGGAGTTCTGTCTAAGACCTAGGACCTAGAACTAAGGAATTAAACTGCAAATCGTTGGCCTGAATATGCCATCAAACACTATAAAATTCTCATTGGCAGATAGGGCTTTAAATTTGGGGGTATGGGCAAATTTTACATCCCTTAGATTAGTGAACCACATGCTTTGTCCTCTTCTGCCTTGAAGCAGATTCTTTTAGTAGCACTCACCTTTAAATCACTAGACCACTAAATTAAATAGTTGGAACTTGCAGACTTACACAGCAAAGTAGATGTAGTCTAAGTTCTATGCTGTCCTTATAATTGTTTTAATATTTTAGAGATTGGGCTCTGAATTCCTTTCAAAAGTAATTGTTTTGGGGCAGTCATATATGCATCTGAAATAGGCTTTTAGTGTTAAATAAATTATACTAGTATTGATTATAGTTGTGGTCATTGAATGATAGAGGACTGCATCTTAAAACAAAGCTTTCTTTGTATTTTATACCTAATATGGGAAGTAAGCATAGCTTAGAAATCATACCTTCTGTATAGCTGAGTTGTGTTTGTTGAGTCATTAAAAAAAAACCCATTTATTTCCATCTCCCCTGTTTTTGAGCTAAAAGAAATACTGATTAACTGTACTTTTTTTTTTTTTTTTGGTCTCCCTGTAGCCCCAGCTGTCCTGGAACTCACTATGTAGAACAGGCTGGCCTTGAACTCATGGAAGTCCGCTTGCCTCTGCTTCCCTAGTGTTGGGACTATAGGCATGTGCCACATACTTTTAAAGGGTATGGCCATAGCATGACATCTTTGTTACTAATAACTGTCCTTCCTTTCTGATGAATTACAACTTTTGGAAAAAATTTTTGAGGCAGGGTCTCATGTAGCTCAGATGGCCTCAAACTCACTGTGCAGCTGAGAATGACCTTGGATTACTGATGCTCCTGCCTCCACCTTCCAGTTTCCTTTTGACAACCTTTTCTGTTTCTTTCTGCAGACAGTGTCATTCTATAGTCTAGTCTGGCCTGGAACTCCCCATCCTACTGCCTCAGCCTCCTGAATGCTGGCATCACAGATTTGGACCAACATGGTCACGGTTTGATGGTTTAAGTTAGAAAGAAATTGGTGAATTCGGTGTACAGCATTTTCAGATTTAGGCATGTAGGGATTCAAGAGTTATGTCTTAGATACAGTAAAAATGCTACTTGTTCCCAGTTAGTATTTCTGTAAATAGAATAAATAGTGCTAGTTTTATATATTCATTTTATTTAGTTCAATGCATATTATTTAATCAGAAGTCCAGATTACTTGAATCTTGACTTAAGGGTCATTGAACTCCTCAGTGTTATCCTTTAATAAAATGCCTAGTGATTATAAGAATTTTATAGTGTTCTGTAAATTTCATAATCTATAGGCTTAAAGGTCTAACACAGATTTCTCCTTTCTGGTTTATTAAATTATTTCATGCTGAAGATTAAAATAAGATACCTTGATGGAGATAGGTGCTTTTGTCAGGTGAGTACTGTCAGTTTAGCATGTCAGACTGGCATTTGACAGTGGTGTAGATCATTGATAATGAAAACCTGTTACCAGTATGGAAAACCAGAGTAAATTTGTATCACTCATTTTAAAAAGCTCTCAACTGCGTGGGTCCACAAACCATGTAGCATACAGTGATAACATTTTACAGAAAATGTGTTACCAAAGTGACTGGAAAAGGCTTCATAACAAAGAATGAAAATTCTAAATAAGGCTAAAAATGGAAAATAAAAATTAATGAACTGGGTAGCTAATTTATTGCTTTGAGTCCAAGGCCACTTTAGTGAAATCATGTATATGGAGGCAATTAACAGAATTATTCAGGTAATTGCTTTTTTCCAGGAGTAAGGTTTTTGGCTTTCTGGTTAAATTATCAGGGTAATTAAATATATCTTTTTCTGTTTCATTTCCCTAATAACCATGGCCTCTGTGCTGAGTGTCAAATATACTGATTTTATTTTGTTATGCTTTGAAATATAGCTGCATATGCGGATTGTAATATTTTTGCATTTACATAATTATTACAAAAGTCTGTACATTTTGGCTTCTTGAACACTTGTAGATCTGACAGTTGAATTTTCCCCTTCCTAAAGCAACCTTTTTTATCATTTTGCGTTATAATTGCCTTTTAATTTGTATGATTTTCTAGTCCAGTGTTTTCTCAAGTGGGAGAAAAGGCCTAATTCTCTAGGGTACACATCATATGTATATATGTATATATTAATTTTTACTGGGTGTAGTGCATACCTTTAATCCTAGCCCTTGGAAGAAGGCTGGTGTATCTGTGTGTTGGTGGCCAGCCTGGTTTAAATAGTGAGTTCCAGACCAGGTAGTGCTACTTAGTGAGACTCTGTCAAAAAAATAAAATAAATAAATAAATAAATAAACTTCTTTCCTACACAATTGGAGGAGGATCCCAGTAGAGAAAGGCTGCTCTAGACTGAAAGCAACTGGGGTAGAGACAGTTCATAGTGTCTTTAGGTCCTGGCACCATGCCTGATGCCTAGTACATGTTTAATACATACTGTTGAGAGAAGAACTTTTAAATGTTTCACATACATAATCTTTAATTCGTGACAGGGATTTAAAGTAAACCCCTTCAGAGGCTGGAGACATGGCTCAGGGATTAAGAGCACTGACTGTTCTTGCAGAAGACCCAGGTTCGAGTCCCAGCACCCACATGGTGCCTTACAACCATCTATAAATCCAGTTCCAGGGGTATCTGGCACTTCTTGTGACCTCCTTAGGCATTGCATGATATGGGTGCACTTACATGCATGCAGGCAATACACTCATACACATAAAATAAAAATAATAAAGTATTTTAAAGTAAACCTCTTCCTTATCCAAAGTGATCAAAGAATGAGGAGTTCTAGTTAATCGAGGGTATACCATATTACTGATTGTTACAATAAATGCATTTAGGGCTTATGCTATACTGACCATAATATAATCTTAGGTGATTCAGTCATTTTATGTTATTGGAAGCACTATTTCATTCAATAGATACTCAAGTAAGCATCTACTATAGACTGGGCACTGCAGTAGGTCCTGGGGACACATGAGCAAGGTAGACAAGATTCTTATATTCTTGTCCTGAGGTGCTTTAATTATTATATTCATGACTACAGATATAGAAGGCAT